GCAGGAATTTTACTCAGTTTTGCTTCTCCTGCAGTCGCAAATTTACTTGCATACCTCCTCAGGTTCCCTGCCTAGTTTCCACCAATCCCTTTGATGTCCACTGACAGCGTCTAAGAAATCATACATTTCCAGTATCGAAAACTACGGGTAGCCAAAGTAGTTTAGTATTAAGAAACAATAATTTAGCAAACTTATAACACAGGTTTCCTATAAGTATTTGAATGCTTGAGAATCATTACTAATCTGGTCCATATTCAGCAATCTGTTCTTATACAACTAAATACTTAAGTGAGGCTACAAACAGAGGTTGTTCATGTTGTGGCATCAGCTCTGCTGTGACGAGTCCTGACAACTGATTAGATTGATCAGCAGAATCAGACATTGCCAGGGCAATTGTCCTGCAGGGGTGTACCCAAGCTAATCCGAGGGCTTCAGGGGCCTGATCCTGCAGGACAGTGGCCCCCAGGTGCTGCACCCTGACCCTGGGTGTCTCTGGAAACAGGGAACTTGCACTGAAGACGTGTCCTGGGAATTTCTCTGCAGGTGGATTCTTGGGCATGTGTCTGCAAGTGGGGGAGCAGGTTTCCCCTGCTTGCAGACACATTAGCATGAAATGTGCACCCTGGGAATCACCAGGTTGCACATGCAATGAGGGAACAGACATCCTACCCTAAGGCGTCACAAACTGTAACTAGGTTTGGCTGCACAAACATTTTTGGGTAAGTGGCATGCGACAAGGGGGAGGGATGTCTGTTCGCTTGCAACTTGTGCTGTTGTAAACATTTTTATGGTGGAACAAGGGTGATGTCTGTTTGCACCCTAAGTGCTTGCTGCATGTTGGGCATGTCCTTAAAGTGCCATTAGCTCCTATGTGACTTAAGCATGTACTTAAATGCTTTGTGAACTGCAGGTCTGCATACTGCACATTTTTAGTATATTCACCCTTCTTGCATGAACTGAAGAAATTCAGAAATCTTAAATCTTAGAATTTAGAATTTACATAATTGGTGAACACAAAAAGGAGAAAGTTAGTTTGTAAGCTAGCTGTCAAAACCCCTTTGTTTTACTGACAATAAGTATGTGTGTGGTGGGGGGCGGGGGAACAATTCTGTAATACATGGACAGTCCACTAAATACAAAAACTACTAGAAATATAAAACTTACCTAAAGAGAACTTTGGAAATTGTCTGTTCCCATGAGTGTCCCTGTAGATCTGATTTTCTTGTCTTAATGTGTGTCACTGATTCTATACTTTTTTTTTTCCATACCATTACTATTTAATGATCTGGCATTTAAATAAATAATCACAAGTGAAACAGTTATTTTGTTTTACATGGGATCAAGTGACTGAAATCTAGAATTCATTATAATATATTAAGTAAGATTTTTTGCTTCTATCTAGTTCGGTTAAATGCTGTCCTCTAACAAAACCCTGTAAGCCAAAGAAAATGCCAATGTTATATTTTATTTGCATCCATGTAGTGAAAATACTACCTTTTCTGTGCGAGAGAATGGTATCCCAAGGTAAAATTCCAGCCTCATTGAAGTTAGTGGCAGTTTTGCCATTACCACAGTGTGGTCAGAATTTAATCTATGGAAATATAGATGTATTCCTGAAATGAATCCTTTAACTTCTAATACTTTAATTTTACTGTTTACACAGGACTGCCAGCAGTGGAGTAATATATGTAATATGCTTAGTTCCAAATGCTACCTGATTGCAGAAGATGCATCTAAAATTATTTCTAAACTTGTAATAGACCAAAATATACAAGTACCAAAATGCAGTGGTCTTGTAGTAAAATATACAAACCAAACCACGATAACAGATCTGATAGAACTTACAAGAATTCTAGATGGTGAGTAGTGGAAAAGTCTGAATTTCAAACCCTATAGTAGCCACATTGTGCCCTCCCAATGATTCGCTTTCAAATATTTAAACATTTTATACCTAAATACAGCAACTGGCAATTTAGGGCATATTCGTTAAAAGAATCTGAAATTCATGGCCTAATTACCAGCTATATTTAGGAGTTTGTGTATTTTGAAAATGCCGAAGGAATTCTTAAAATTGCTTCCAGGGTTTCAATTAACAAAGCAGCTTGGGGACAGGGGGACAGTATGCATATCATAAAAGCATTTGTGTGTTCAAGGTATGGCTAAATTTTATATATTCAAATACCAGAATTAACTAAAACAGGTAAGCAAACAAACGAACAGAAACTTGAGGGGGGGAAAATCTGGGTTTTTTTAATTAGTGATAAAAACTGTTCCACAAATACAATCTACATAGAAATAATTCTAGGTTAGTGACGCATGTTCATTATTTTTCTTAACATTTATGTCAGTGTACATTTGTCATTCTATGTGTGTTCTGTATATGTTCCTAGAAATTTTCTGTCAGATATATTCTTGATACCCCTAATCTCCTTCTAAGAAAATAGAATCCCACGTGTCAAAATGAGCGAATAATGTATTTCAGAACTTTATTCACAAAAGGTGTGGGACATTTTTCATTGTGAGAAAAAAAAATCAGCGCTGCAATGCTAGGGAATGCATTTAGAATTCAGTACACAGAGTATTTGACCCCCTGGAATACATTCCTAGAATGATCAACTTGGCCTATAGTCATTATAACAATCAGGGGAGAACTGTTAGGCATTCCCTAAACTAGGCCAAAAAGGTAAAAGAAATAATATAAATGCAAACAAATGTTTCATTGCAAGTATTAAACTAGTGCCTGCCATTTACATTTCTATAAAGGGTATTAGATTGCCTTCCTCTGTTTATATTTAACCTTAAAAAGACCCAAAGGATTAACAATATATAAAAAGTGAAATCTATTTCTTTGTAAAATATATTAAATATTTACTAACGAAGGCTACAAATTCCCATTATATATAGGACAAAGACATATTACCATATTAGGAAGTCCAGATGGAGAATCTTCTGATGATAGCCTTGTAGATCTGGTAAGTACAGAAAGCTGTTCTACTGCAGAATTGCTAAAACATTGCTTTTATCATGAACTGGTATTTAGGAAAAAGGCCGTCTCTGTGTGAGAAAGACACATAACCTTTTGTGAAATGGCCTTTTTTCTAGAAAGTCACCTCTTATCAGAGTTAATCTTGAAACTTAAAAATAAATTCAAATAAAATAATAAAGGAAAATTGCCACAGCAGGCTACAGGGAATAGCATGTTATCTATTTGCTTGCATTAGTTGGTGGAAAAATGTAAGAGAATTACTCAAAATATTTCTGAACAGTAATAATGCTTTGTATAGAAAGTCTTAATTAACTCTAATCTTTTTGTACTGAAACTGCATTTGGAAATAAAGTCTCATTTCTTATTAAAGTGAAAATTAATGTGCAAACCCATCCAAATCTTTCATTAAAGGAGGGTTTTATTTCTACATAGAGAGACGAGGAATACTATTGAGCTTTAGGTTTAGAGCTAGGACACCAAATTAAATAGCGTGGAATGAAATGACTTCACTCCTTTAACTGTGTAGTTTTTAAAACATGCACTTTCTTGTCCTAAGGCTGTTGGACTGGGCGCCAGGTTTATCAAGTTGGGAGGTCTTTCCCGTGGAGAGAGGGTGACCAAATACAACCGCCTTCTTGCTATAGAGGAAGAACTGGCCAAGAATGGAGCGCTGCGTATGAGCTTCTTTCTTGCATTGTTTTCAGCTTGCAATGAATAAGAGAACAAAGATTGGAGGAAGAATGATTGAAACTGCTCCATGGGAGGGAAGGGGAATCAAAAGACCAGAAATAAGCACCGACAAAAACGCTTAGGATAGCACTTGCCACAATGTATATTCTTGTCCTAATGGATTGTCTGTTTACCTGAATGCTAATATAGATCCTTTCTTAGACGGTAGTCAACGTCAGGTTTTCCAGCAAAATTAACTGGCTGGAATTTTCCAGCCCCCTGTGCATACATGCATCAAGAAATAAAAATAAATTAAGAGTTTTTCATCACAGAGTATTTTAGCTCCAGGACAAATGTACATTTAGAATTCAATTTACAACCCATTTCACTGTAACACACTGTACCAATATTAGGTTCAGAAAATTAAAGTTGCATAAATAAGTTAGGAAGTGTTAAAAGTTGTAGGCGTAGCAGCGGCAGAGGGAGTTTGAATAGGGAGGGGTGTGGATTTATACTGGTGGGAGGGGATTGGGCTATAAAGGAGAAGAGCTGTGAGAACTATAGAGGGGAAAGTAAAAAGTTTAGGGGAATGGAGCTGTTGGGGTGGGAGAGGAAGATGAAGAGGAAGGATGCTGTGATGCAAAAGCAGAGTGTGGTGACAGTCTCGTTTGAGTGGAGATGGACAGAACTAGAAAAGGTAGTTTCTTGAAGTTTCACAAAATAAAGCCACTATGGACCCAGATCCTGGCCCCCCCACAAACAATGCAATCACAGTGCACTGCTGCACCTGCATTTGGTCCCATGAGGTCACATTTTTAAAGGTATTTAGGTTTTAAAAGCTGCAGACAAGGACTTTTGGAAATCCCACTTGGTGCCCAACTCCCTTTGAAATCACTAGGAGCTTGGCATCCATGTGCCTTTGAAATCCTTCTGGGCACCTAGCCATACCTTTTAAAGCCTACATACCTTTAAAACGTGGCCTTCGCTGCTCTGTCAGTTGCAGAACTGGGCCCAAGGGAGACGCTGAATTTTTGCTAACACTAACAGCAAAAATTTACTGTTAAGGATATTTGCTAATATCCTTTACATTAAGCATGTGATGCATTTATCGCTTGGACTTTTTAAACTTGAAAAGCACGAGAGTATGTTTTGAACAAACCTGTTTCAATCAGGAGAACTTATTTTTTTCTGTCCCCATTCCAGGTTCAGGAGAAAAGTATCTTGAATTTGTTGATTTTGCTGAAGAAGCAATACTGATAGATGCAGAACTTGATGCACTTCCTCCAACAAAGCAGGGCCAGATGCTTCCCCAGTCTGCCCAGCCATCACTGGCTGAGGACTAGGACTCCTCTCACAGGACAGCACATTCCACCTGACTTGATGGATGCATCAGCATCACTTCAATGGATTTGGAGCCAGAGCAATTAATAGTCTGGTCCTGCAAGGTGCTAAGAACCCTCAGCTGTCAGTGAAGTCACCTGGAATTGTGAGTCCACAGCACCTCAGGAGATGGACTGTAAATTTTGGGGTTTATGTTCTGATGTGTCATTAGATTGACAAGGGAAATCCACACACTTATACAGAGCCTTCCTGGACACACTGTGTAGTGGCAAGGTCCCTTCATGCAGGTACAATGGTAGTATCAGGTTTTTATGGACAACCTATATTTAGGGCAATAGTGTACCAAACTTGAATCCTTGTATTCATATTAAGTTTGACCTGTTACATTTATCTAACAAATTATTTTAAATACCTCCAAATTCAACTATGACTTTCAATTTTCATTCCTATTCACCAATACAGTACTGTTTTTACAGGTTTTTAGTCTAGGAATAATTAAGGCTAAAGTATATGTTGGTACATGAATTTTAGGCAGGGTAAACGTGCAACACTAAACTCATTCCAGCAAGCAACTCGTTTCTTATCCTGCATATCCCTTAATACAGTTAAATACTTGTGACTACTCTGAGTGAGATATTTTAAAGCCACTCTAACCTGACCTCTTCATGTACTCACTGGAGTATTGCCTTCAATGGGAACAGTGCTAAGCTGTTAATGAGCATTTTTTGATACTTTCATCCTCCATTTCAAACAACAGTTTGTGATGCAGTACTGGATGTTTTAATAAAGGCTCAGCTTCTCTAAGCATTGGTATTTACACAAATGTCTGTCGTTATATAAGGTTTCACTTGTCTGTAGAGATGTGAAAACAAACATTTAAAAAAACCAAAAAAACAGAGCTGCTTTGTCCAACACTTGCTCAATACCTCTCTTATGTCTAGTCCAGAAGAAAAACATATTATTCCAGCAACTGATGGCTAGCTATGCCACTGCAAACCCCATGCATAGAATAAAGGTAGAAATTTGCTTTAGAGGACAAAAAGCTTACCCCAGTCTGAAGTAGTGAATAACAAAACAATTTCACAATGTTTGGGAAACTGTCAGTAATCTTTTTAATAAGCAACAATGAAAAGATAAATAATTTTATATTGGAGTGTAACAGAAATAATCTAAGTAAAAGAAATATTTTTTAAAAACTTCTGTTTTAGAATAATTTGCAGTTAACATATACAACAATAAAAATTTGAGGAAAAATACATTTATAAAATGTCACGTTTTAAATTCAGGATAACACAGAAGTGCAAAACCAACTATTAGAAAAAGCCACTGAAATGCAGATATACAATTAAATGATAGACAAATTTCCCCTAATTTAGGAAATACACTTAGATAGATAATTAGATCAACCCCAATGTTGTTGTTTTTTTAATCAAACATGCACCAAGAGAAAAAGAGCATAACAACCATACTCATTACTATCAGCTTTGGAAGAGACGCACCAGACAACTACATGCAGAGCCACACTAACAAACTGAGCACATTCATCCTTAATAGTTAAAATACTATCACCATTTCATTAAGCAAAAAACCAGAGCATTCAAGTACATCACCACTCAAGTTTCAGTAACACCAATCTTTACTTTAAGGTAAAAATCCCTGATTATATTTGTTTCTTCAATGTACTCAAGTGAAATATTGTGTTTGCTTTTACAAACCTCTCTGGAATGTGGATTGGCATCAAAGCAAGTAAATTATGTACCTGTCAATCTAACTCCATTGGAAAGGACTCTGATAAAGGGTGGTACTTGTGCTCTCACCTACCAACACAACTCATGTCACCGCAGTACACAACAGTTTACAGGAATTAAGTCAAAAGTTTACTTGTTAGCGATATTGGGTCTGATCCTGAAATTCTTCATCTTGAGTACAAATCAACAGTAGGATTGGCAAAGAGCCCCAACCTTGTACACATTGATTTGCACCATTCTTAATCACAAGAGCTCAGTGTAATTTATGCAATATAACAGTGCCTGGATGCTCCAAACACATCAGGTTCCCATTGCGCTAAGTGCTGTACAAAGAAATAATAAGAGAGCCTTTGCTCTAAAGAGCTCTCAGTGTAAACAGGAGCATTTGCTTGACATCCCAGACCCCTATGTTTAAAGATCATCACCAAAACTCCTGGTACAAAACTAGCATGCTGCATTGCCTGCTTTCACTAACTGTCAACTCGGTACTGGCAGAAAAAAATAAACCCATGTTTTGAAGCAGAAATTCTGTACTTGTGCTTTACTATTCAACAAAATGGCCCATATAAACATACTAGAAAGGAGACCAATACAGCCTCCTATGAAATAGGTATCAAAGACATTTTAAGGCAGTGTCTTGAGTGGATTTTTGTTGGGATCAGTCCAATATTTTTGTGCAATTGTCGCCTCCGTGTCTATCCAAAGCCCACTGAAGTTAGTGGGGGCCTTTCCAGTGACAGCAGCGAGCTTCAGATCAGACTGTTACTGGCCTTTGCAAAGTGTCTTTTCATTAAAATAAGTAAATGTTAACAATATTTTAAAAGAATCCAAGTAACATATTAAAGAAGATAGTATGCATACACAAGACCAAAACAGAAAGAAAGGATTCTGAATTGTATACACGAGGGTCAGCCTGGAAGGTTCGCCTGGTTTTTTTCCCTCAGCTAAATACGATTGAAAAAATATTAAACTTGCACAGAACATTTCTACATCATCGCCAAACATGCAGCTATTTGTCAACAGCGTTTCCTTCTCTGTCAATGGCTATTTCGAACTGGTGAACAAAGCCATGCATCCTGACATTGGAAAAGTCCTTGTCCTTGTATAGCCCCTATCATACAGTAGCCATGGCTGCTGTCATCCCTCAAATACTGCCATCAGTATGCAATTCACTCTCTGGAGGATAGGGCAACACGGTCTATCCAAGAGCTGAGATTGCCTCCACGTCTGTGGTGCGCAGGCTGACCTACGGGCAAGTGTTACTGTGCAGAAGCAGCACCTTCCACCTGTCTCTGTAGGGACAAACTCTGCATTTGATATTTCAGTTTCTCTGAGGTCTTGACACGGTCCTCCAAGTTTGCTCTGGCCTCTTTAGGCATAAAGTCAAGAACATCCACTATCGTCTGTGGCTTGCTTAGGAGATAAAAATTAGGAGGCATTTTTTGTAACCTTCATATAATGTTGGGTCATTCAGTGAAAAAGGGCCATTGAAGGAAGAGACTATGTTAGCAAAAATAGGTGTGTGTTTAGCGGTACAAATTTACCATCCATGTTTAATATTTTTTTCAATATTTGGCTGAGAGAAAATAATAGAAGGCATTACTTTCTGACTGACCTTTGTATTTACATGACCCACTAATGCATATAACAAAACTGTATACAAAAGGTCATTTCAGTAACCATCATCAAAAACAGTTTGCATACAGTATTAGTACTGAGCATCCTTGCTCAGACCTATGAAATTTATACTTACTAGTAAGGACTGCTAAAGTCCCAGCTTTTAGCCTAACAGTTAACAGTTGGAACTATCAGACTCTTTTGTTTTCTCAACAGGCGTTTCATTATCAATTTTTTTACTTTTTTCTTCCTCCACTTTGTCTTGTTTTAGGAGTTTTTCAGGCATCTGGTCTTCACTGCTGGAAACAGGATCTAAAACTACAATGGACTCAGTCTGCTTTTCACAGCTAGAAGATTTTCTTGCAAAATCCACATAACTAGGTGATCTGGGGGAAAATGAAGAATGCATATGTAAATACACAGATTTACATGTTTTGAACAAATATGAACAAACAGAAAATATAGAAATGATTAATAGCATTTCATGACCAAGACAGTTACATTACATGGACAATTACACAACATGACAATGATCAGATGACTCCTCTTATATCACGTAATAAGCTAATTACACTAGGAAGTTGCGGCAACCAGAAAAATTAAGTTACGGAGCAGCAAGCGAGGACCTTCACATTATGAAAGAGAAAGTCATTTGTAAAAAAAACAGTTCTGTTTTCTGTGCTCTCTCCAGACTAGCTCAGAGCAGGGCTATTGTGTATAGCTTCACATATCAGGGAGGTGGTAATCAAGGAAAACTTATGCCAGAGCTACTGGGGAGACAACAGCTTCCTGGCCATATCTGCATTTGCACCCTTAAAAAGGACAGAGCCTGATACCTACGCTCTGCCACAGGGCAGACAAATATAAACAGCTAGATTTTCAGTGTATCCATCACCTCGTCTCACTCTTATTTTTCTATAACTGCTGAGAGCCGAGACTTGAAAGGCTAGCCATAGGAGACCCTAAAAATGCCGCGGACACAAGGATTCTACACTAGAGAAGCGCAGTATCCCGGATTTGCCACGGGGAGGCACTCACAAAGAGACAGATGTTGCAAGTCCTTACTGTGCGAGACCACCACGAGTCACATCCTAACGTAGGTGAGTCCTTAGTGAGTTTAGCACGGGCAGAGCTCCATGAGTGCAAGTTCCTAATGCAGATTAGATGCATCTGCATAAAATAAAACTAGGATTTCTGTGGTTTAGCTCAAGTCTGTCCTTGTTGGTTCAGCAATATCTTTATAGTAACACCTGTGTAAACCTCCCAAACAGACACAAGCCCCAGATCCCTTTTCAGTTGCAACCAAAAAAACAGCTCTAGATGGATGATGAATGCAACTGCACATGCTTGCCTGGGGATACTTTCTGCCTTTCTTCAATGTGCTACACAAACACGTTGCCAGGATGATGACATAACTATTAAGAGGAAAAAACAGAATCTACCGGAGGAAAGCAAATGTATGTAAAGGGTCAATCTGTCAGAGCTGCCCACCAAGATAACCACTTTGTCTAAGATGGAAAGACAGCAGGGAAAGCGAGAGGTCAGTTGACTCAGCCATGGGAACACAAGTGCCGGGGTTCCTCCAGCGCCTGCCAGACCATAAGAGAAGAAGCAAATCTGCAGCCTGAACCAATGGAAGCAAACTCACTGCTACGACAAGTTATTATATTTTCCATTCAAAGAGTAAATTACTGACCTTTCCTGGTTTAATATACACAAAAGGAGCATGCTGAATTTCTATTTCAAACACTGTGTCATGGTTTGTATTCAGTGAAATTCCACGTTCAAGCAACATTCACCAGAATCATGTCTAACATCAGAGCCTCAGCACAAGTTAATTAATTCAGAAATTGGCACTAATAGGTACAGTTGCAGGCTCAATTGAAGACAGTCAAAACCCAGAGATTTTCCAAGGAAAATAATGCTTATTTTATGCAAACCCTGCCTATCACTCAAGCTTAATTTTACTGAAAATAGAAGGTGGGATATTTTGAACATTACCGTGAATGAAACTTTTTAAAGCAGTTTAACTACAAGAGGGTTATTTCAGAAAGTGCTACCTCTGAAAAGCTGATTGCCCAACACTATAAAAATGGTCAAAGCCATAAATGCCAAGTTCATTTTTATTTCACTTTGGAGGTAACTATCTTTCAAATCCCAACAGCTGGACTATTTAATACAATCTGGTGAATCAAAGTATAATTCTTCACTGGGCTCACAGCGGGGAGTCTGCATTAGTGTGTGGCAGCAATCCAACAACTGATGTACAGCCAAACACTCTGAAGTCTGTTTCATTTACAATAAAAATGGATAAAACCGCAATAGTATTTACCACCTTCAAGGATAGCAAAATAAAAGAATTAAATTTGTTGATATGAAGTAGTTTAATGGAGAAAGCCGGAGATGAAGTCAGAGTTACATTTTTGAGTATAAAATAGAGAATTACTGTTTCGTAGTTCGACTAGTATTTCCCTCTTCAAATCCTTCCCACAATTACTACCCTGAGTTGTCAGTACTGCTGCTAGGGCTGAGGCAGCGTTATTGTTTAAAATTAGAAATCCCGTTCATCTGGAGCAGATGCCTGGCCTGAGAAAGTTTCGGTGCAAGGGTTATTACAGAGTCATGTTTCAAGCATGCCCCGCATTTGGTGCTTTATCTCAA